CCCAGGTGGTGGCAGGTGAGCGGCGAGGCCGCCGACGCGGAGGAGGCCATGGCGTCGACGGCGGCGGCGGGGAGGGAAGGGGGGAGGAGGAATGGAGATGGGAAGGGAGGTGGGGTTTAATTGGATGGACGGCGGCTATGGGGTTGGACGGGGAAGCGGCATTGGGCGTATCGGATCCAGAGATTGGTTCCTTCGCGCGTGCATCCGGTGTTCGTAGACCAGGTACTAGTGTCGAGAACCGCTGCACCTGCAGAGAGCATATGCTCCTGTGAGCAAAAATAATGGTAGAAAAAACGAAAATAATTAGATATGTTCGTTGTCACACCCAAATGCTACCTGCAAAATTTTAGGTGAAAAGCCTAAGCATTTTGACCTGCGAGAAAAAAAAGTTGAACCCCAAATATTACCTCCACAAGTTACACTTAATTTAATTTTATTCACCGACGAAGCATTGTTATCATGTTTCGCATAAAAATTGTCAAGTCTACTTGTTACACTAACATGAACATCCACACAAAAAATCAGAATTTTTAAATTTATTTACTATTTATTTTTAATTTAATGTTCATCCGGAAGCATATGCTCCCCAGAGCTAAAACGGCTTTCCCTACAAATTGCAACTATATAAACAAGTTATGTGGATCCTAATTTCTCAAGATGGTATCTCACAATAAAAATTCTCAAGTCGGTGGGATGGAAAGCCAACTGGATAAACTCGGTTGATCTCTTAATTGTGCTGTCATCTCTACAATTACAATGATTATCGTTGAGCTCATATCGGTAGAACATGACTAAGAGAATCATCAAGCAAATAGATAATTGAGACGTGCTTTTCCAAGCGCTGGTTCAGGTTATGTCAACGGCGGTAATTAGTGTCAAATGGTATCACGTTTGTTTCCTCATCCATTTTGATGGCCTATTTGCCTTGGAATTCCCAACTTGCAGCTTGCAGCTGGAAGGCAGAGCTCTGAAACCTAGATGGTTGTAGCAGAATGGCGTTGACACGGAGAAACCTTGGCATGGGTTGCCACCGCCTATTGACAAGGAGGTTTGTGCATTATATGTTTCTTGCAATGTGATTCACATTGGTGACGGTAAATCCATGTCCTTTTGATTTGGCCACTGGCTAGTGGCATCACACCGACGGTTGCATTTTTTATTTGTACAAAACACAGTAGATAATGGTGTACCAGGCTGATAAACGAAAGATGGATTGGTCTTACTGATAAACCAATCTTATTCAACCAGCCCTGGTTATCTCTGTCAGTTCACCAGCAGTGTTGAAGCACCCTTCAAACATATCGTTTAGAAAAAAATATCCACCTTCCCGAAAAAAATAGTGTTTTTCTCTTGGCTGTGAATAGAGGGGAACTGTTTGACAGCTGATAATCTCGCAAAACGGGCATGGCCTCACAATCCAATTTGCCGCCTATGCAATCTCTATGAGGAACATGTTGCACACATTTTCGCTCAATACCCCTTCTCGACTGGAATTTGGGGATTTTGTTTTACCAAAATTCAGTTTCCTCCAAATCAATAACCCAATACCGAACCAGTCAACCTAATCGATTGGTGACCAATGGGCTAATGGCACTAGAGCAACTACTAGAACTCGCAGGAAGGCTTTCTCATACCTGGTATTATGAGCTAAGGACTCGGCTGTGTATTGGGATCAAAGTAGTTAGATGGATAGGCGAAGTGTAGGATTCAGTTCTTTCAGGGGGTTTTACATCATGTACCTGTAACACATGTATTTATGACAAAGTCTGAGTTAAGATGCTAAAAATGACTAGCTAGGGTTGAAATGCCCTAAAATTCATAATAAATAAAATATCAATGTCTGCTTTTCTTCTTTTTTGCTCTCTCCATATCGCTCTTCGACTGTGACCTCCCAAACTAAAGTATGAGCACGAATTAAGTCAATTTGCCCACATCGTATAACACATACGATAGTTGGCAAGATCTAAATCATGTTTTTTTGTGGGTCAAATACTTGTATTACTCAAATCATAAGGTTCATACAATCAACCACAGCTAACTTCACAGCAACTGGAGGCAAATAGGCTACATCATCAAATGCTAGTTTCCAAAATGTATTTATCCTGACTTGTACAAAATATATTCTGGTGTTATCATGCACTTGCAAAGTTTGATTTGTTTGTGTTCTTACGAAAAAAAGAAGCCTGATTAGTGAAATGTTTCTTTTAACTGGGAGACTTGTAAGGATAGGTCAGCGCACAAGTGCGTCAGAGACTTGTAAGGATAGGTCAGCGCACAAGTGCGTCAATTGTTTTTACAAATGCAAAATTGGATTCGATTAGCACTTGCATAAAAGTGAATTAAGAGTAGGGCGAAGCCACTAAGGCTATGTTTGGTAGTGAAGTACTAGAAAAACTGAAGTATTAAAAACCAAAGTATTTTAGTCAGTAGGTACAAGATACTACAGTTTTTACATAGCAAAGTATCTTGAAGTATTGAGAATAATGTGACACTTTTGGCAAGTGCTTATATGCACCAACATCAATTAGCTAGCTAGCATATGAAGCAGTTGCAATGCGCGCCTTGCTAGCTAGCTGGACGCACTGAACGGGCATGCATGACAACCAGTCACATGCACTGAACTACCATGCACAAAGCTAGCTTACAGGAAAAGAAGACACTTGAACACGTGTAACACCCCGGATGTAATTTACCTTATATGCATCCCAACTCTTGCCGTTTCCGGCCTAAGTTATTTTATTTTCCTCGGGTGTCGGTTTTTGTCTCCGTGTGTTGTTGCCTTTGTCATGCATCTCATATCATGTCATCTTGTGCATTGCATTTGCATACGCATTCGTCTCATGCATCCGAGCATTTTCCACGTTGTCCGTTTTGTATTCCGGCGCTCCTATCTCCTCCGGTGGTCCTTTCTACCTCCTTTCGTGTGTGGGGGTTAAATATTTCCGGATTGGACCGAGACTTGCCATGCGGCCTTGGTTTACTACCGGTAGACCGCCTATCAAGTTTCGTGCCATTTGGACTTCGTTTGATACTCCAACGGTTAACCGAGGGACCGAGAAAGCCTCGTTTGTGTTGCAGCCCAACACCCTTCCAATTTGGCCCAAAACCCACCAAAACCCTTTCCATCTTCTAGAGCGTCCGATCACGATCGCGTGGCCGCAAACCGCTCCTCATTCTGAGCTTCCTACCTCCTCCTATCTATAAAAAGGCCTCCTCCCCGAAAATTCCGGATCCAAACCACCCCTAACCCTAGCCCCGCTCCTCTCCGCGCGGCCGGACACGTCCGCCGGCCGCCGAACAGACCGCCGCCGCCACTCTTTGCCCGCCACGTGTCAATCTCCGGGTGTCCCCGCGCCGAAGCCCTCCGGGCCCGTGGCCGGCCCGCCCGCGCCCGCGCACGGGCCAGAGGAGCTCGCCTCTGCCGCCTTCGTCTTTTCCTTCGCCGGCCGCCGGCCGCCTTCGCTCGTCGCTCCGCCGCCTTCGCCCGAGCGCCGCACCTCGCCTGACCACCGCCGGCGCCGCCCCGCTCCGTCCCGGCCACCCGGAGCCGCCGCCTCGCCGCACCTCGTCGAGCGCGCCAAGTCCGAGCTCCGGCGGGCCCTCCTCCTCGCTCCACCTCGATCTCCGGCCGCGTCCCCTTCTCCGACGAACAGGAGCTCCGGCGACCTCGGGTTTCCTCCGGTGAACAGTACCGCGCCAGATCCGATCCAGATCTGAGGGTTGACCAAATTCTTTTGACCTAATCCCCTTTTTTTTGCATTCTTACACATGCTATATCTCTGCATCCGTAGCTCCGATTTGCACGTGTAGCATATCATAATGTTCGTCTCGACGAGTACATCATTTCATCTCATTGCATCATTTTCATTTGAGCTTATCTTGATGCCCGAAATTCTGTTGGAAGAGGGCTATGTGGTGAATTTGTCAGATCCGTTTCATCAAATAGCTATTTGTCATTTTTGTCATGTTTAATGTGTGCATGCTATGATCCTGAGCTCTACATGTGTTTTGTTATATGCCATGCCATCTTTCCAGAGGTGCTTGCCATGTATTTTTTTTGACATTTGTGGTGACTAACACAAGCTTGCAAAGTAGCGTAATCGGTAATGTTGTTTTCAGGGACTTCGAATTTCACCAAGTCCTTGTCCTGATTTTGTCGTTATGCCATATGTTCATGTTGTTTCCTAGTGATCCGTGCCTCTTTTGAGGACGATCAGTAAGGATGTTTTGTTAACATTGTGGTGCTCTATCCATCCATGTCTTTGTTTGCATTTATGGAGCACCCTAGATTGAGTCAATCGAGCTCTACTTTTGCTATTTCGTGAATCGTGGCAAATTGTTGACATGTTAGCGATTTTGCCGAGTATGTTGCTATTGATCCGTGCATGCTATGTTGTTGTCCTTGCCATGTCTAGCTTCTATGCTATGTATTCTTGATGGGTGTATGCTTAGTTTGTTATTCCATTCTCTGTAGTGAGTGCATCGAGCTCGTAAACATGCCTACTCGTTAACTAATTTGCATGCTCTGGTTTTTCTCTAAGTCTGAGATCTGTTTATGTTTTTGCCATGTCCACATGCTTGCAATTGTATTTTCTGATCCATTTTGGCTCAAGGTCACTAAGGGACTTTTGTTAAGTGCTTTGAGTAGCTGCATGCCATGCCTTGCTTTGCCATGTTAAGTTTCTGTAGCATGTAGTTTTCATGCCCTAAAGTGTGCTTCCTGATGATAAATTTCAGACTTGTGTTAATTTCACTAAGTCTGAAACCTGTTATCGTTTGCACTTTTGCCATGCTTGTTTGTACCTGTTAATAGATGAATTAGCCGTAGCTCAGTGTTCATCTTTTGTCAAGCTTCATGAGTGGATCACTGCCATGTATTTTGTTGTCATGTTTGAGTGCTGTTGCATATTTATCTTGGTGCATTTAGTTGGTCACTTGCTGATTATCGTAGACCGGTGCCATATTTGTTTTGCTTGCCATTTCCAAACCATGCATCCGATTCCGGTGATCTTTATATCGATTTCAACCGAAATCACCTCACCTTTCCAGTGGCACTCTTGGATTTCCAAGTTGAGACCAGGTTCAATCATTCCTTGTCAAATCTTGCATATGCATCACAAATCGCATCCCGCATAGCATACCATGTTTGCATCATGTTGTTTGAGCATTGCACGTGGTTGATTATATTCCTTTTGCTTGTTTGTTTTGTTTGGATAGAGCCGGGAGACGAGTTCGCGAACGAGGAGCCCATTGAGTTCGCTTACGAGGATCAAGTCAACTCCGACAACTTTGCAGGCAAGATGATCATACCCTCGAAATCACTTCTATCTTTGCTTGCTAGATGCTCGCTCTTTTGCTATGCCTATGCTACGATGCCTACCACTTTCTTATCATGCCTCCCAAATTGCCATGTCAAACCTCTAACCCTCCATGTCCTAGCAAACCATTGATTGACTATGTTACCGCTTTGCTCAACCCCTCTTATAGCGTTGCTAGTTGCAGGTGAAGATTGGAGATCGTTTCTTGTTGGAACATTGTTTATTGTTGGGATATCACTATATTATCTTGTTATCTTAATGCACCTATATACTTGGTAAAGGGTGGAAGGCTCAGCCTTTTGCCTAGTGTTTTGTTCCACTCTTGCCGCCCTAGTTTCCGTCATATCGGTGTTATGTTCCCGGATTTTGCGTTCCTTACGTGGTTGGGATATAATGGGAACCCCTTGACAGTTTGCCTTGAATAAAACTCCTCCAGCAATGCCCAACCTTGGTTTTACCATTTGCCACCTAGCCTCTTTTTCCCTTGGGTTTCCGGAGCCCAAGGGTCATCTTTAT